CTGGATGAGCTACAAGGAGCTAAGTGCTTCTCTAAAATAGACCTGAGGTCTGGATATTTTCAGATTTTAATGAAAGAGGAACACAGGCACTTAACAGCTTTCAAGACCCACAGTGGGCATTTTGAATTCCTGGTTATGCCTTTTGGGCTGTGTAATGCCCCTGCCACCTTCCAGTCATTAATGAACCAGATTTTTGGAAATCAACTCAGGAAGTTTGTCCTAGTATTTTTTGATGACATTTTCATCTATAGCAAGACTTGGGAGGAGCACTGTGAGCATTTGAGGGCTGTGTTACAGAAATTGAGGGAAAATACTTTGTATGCAAAATAAAGTAAGTGCCAGTTTGGGGACACTAAGGTAGAATATCTTGGACATATCATTTCATCTGAGGGAGTGGCCACTGATCCTAAGAAAATTGAGAGCATGTTACTTTGGCCCACCCCAACAACCATCAAACAGTTAAGGGGGTTTCTGGGGTTAAGTGGTTATTACAGAAGGTTTATCAGGGGATATGGTGAGATTAGCAAACCACTCACCACATTACTAAGAAAAGATCAGTTTAAGTGGGGGGAGGAGGCTGATTTAGCTTTTGCCAAGCTCAAAGAGGCCATGACTAAGGCTCCTGTATTGGCATTACCAGACTTCTCTAAGCCTTTTGTGCTTGAGACTGATGCAAGTGGTTATGGGATTGGTGCAGTGCTGATGCAAGATGGTCAACCTATATCTTTTCTCAGCAAAACTTTGTGCCCCAAAAATCAGGCTCTTTCAGTCTATGAGAAAGAATTTCTGGCAGTATTGCTAGCTGTTCAGAAATGGAGGCATTATTTACTTGGGCACAGGTTTGTTATCAGAACAGACCAGCAGTCCCTCAAATATAATTTAGATCAGAAGGTTACTTCACCTTGGCAACAAAAGGGCATTATTAAGCTACTGGGGCTTGACTATGAAGTTCAGTATAAGAGGGGAAAGGAGAATAAAGCAGTTGATGCCTTATCCAGGGCTAAAATTGACATAGGATCCTGCTCTGCTTTAACCACCTTGGTGCCTAATTGGATGCAACAGGTCATAACCAGCTATGATGATGACCAAACTCTTAAGGAGGTGAGAGAAAAACTGGCACTAGATCCTAACTCAGAGTCCAACTACACTATGCATGGAGACATTCTTAGGTACCAAGGAAGACTGTGTATTGGGTGTGATCCTAAATTGAGACAAGAGTTAATTGCCTACATGCACAACACCTCAGTGGGAGGTCACTCAGGGGTGCAGGGTACTTATATGAGGATCAAAAAGGTGTTCTATTGGAAAGGAATGAAGAAGGATGTGACCTCATTTGTATTAAGATGTGACACATGCAGGATCAATAAACCCTCTCATGAGCACACTCCAGGCTTACTACAACCCCTGCCAATCCCAGAAGAAGCCTGGACCCACATTTCTATGGATTTTGTGGAGGGATTACCCAAGTCCTTTGGGAAAGATACCATTTTAGTGGTCATTGACAGACTCACCAAATATGGCCATTTCATTGCCTTATCACACCCTTATACTGCACAAGGGGTGGCCAAGGTATTCCTAGATTACATCTACAGGTTACATGGATTACCAACATGCATTGTTACAGATAGGGATAAAATTTTCACCAGTTCATTTTGGAGGGAGCTGTTCAAGCTATTTGGGGTATCACTGAATTTTTCATCTGCCTATCATCCCCAGACAGATGGGCAAACAGAGAGGCTTAATCAATGTTTAGAAAACTACCTCAGGTGTATGGTGTATCAAAACCCAAAGAAATGGACTAGTTGGCTTCCTATGGCAGAATATTGGTACAACTCCAACTACCATACCTCTCTCAAATCAACCCCTTTTCAAGCCCTATATGGATATCCACCTAACTCTCTGCAAACTAAAGCATATCTGGACTCCCCAAATCAGGAAGCTAAGGAGTTGGTGTTGGATAGGAAGTTAATGATGCAAAACTTGAAAACTAATTTACTGGAAGCACAAAACAGAATGAAGGTAAATGCTAACAAACAGAGGACGGAAAGAGAATTAAAGGTAGGCGAGATGGCTTACCTTAAGCTGCAACCCTACAGGCAAAATTCAGTCCAGCTGAGAAGGAACATTAAGCTCTGTTCAAGGTATTTCGGCCCCTATGAAATTATAGAGAAAATTGGTCAAGTGGCATATAAATTGGCATTACCAGAGGGATCTAAGATTCACCCAGTGTTCCATGTTTCACTACTCAAGAAGAAGGTAGGTGAAGGCGACTTATCTGTTTCAGATCTCCCAGAAGCAGGTGAAGATGGCCACTTCAAATTGGAACCTACAGAAGTTCTTGATCGTCGTAGGGTGTTGCGCGGCCAAGATGAGGTACAGCAACTGTTGATCGTTTGGGGAAACAAATCTCTGGGTATTCACTCGTGGGAAGATGAGAAGTTCATGAAGAAAAAGTTCAAGGAATTCGATCCTTGTGGGCAAGGATCTAAAAAAGGGGAAGGCAATGTTACAACCTTACAAATTACAGAAGGTAATCTGGGGGAAATGGGGGATTTGCGAGGTAAAGAAGAAGAAGAGAGCAAGATCGAATTTTACAGAAAGGGCAATGAGACAAGTGATAGGGTTTGGTCTGAAGATGAAAGGGGACTTCAAGAGCCGACGCGTGGCAAGACCTGGGCCGTTGATGAAGAGGCAAGGAAAACAAATCCAGCTGAACACGTGGACGCCAACTAAGAGCTCATCAGCTTTATCTAAATTTATGTTATTTTTCATTTCTTTTAATTTCCACATTTTTTGGTTTATTTCTTTTGTTGCAAGTTGAGAATTGGGTTTTACCCAATAGGGGAAAATGTTGTGGGCCCAAGTGAGAATGTTGTTAAAATCGTGAAAATAATGCATGAGAAGTATCAGTTTGTTTTGCAACAAATTTATTCCTCTCTCTCCTCTCTCACTCACTCTCCCTCTCTATCTCTGTTTCTCTCTCTATAATCATCTTCATCTTTCCCTATCTTCTTCACTACAAAAATACACAAAAAAAATACAAAAAATATAGAAAATTCATCAATATAATTCGGGACATAACAACTGGTATCCAGAGCCACCGTTCCTTGGACCATGGCTGAAGGAACAAGAGGTCGAGAGCTGCAAGAGTTTCAAAAGAAAATGGATCAATTATGGAAAAACCGAAGTACTTAAAAGGGAAGCTGCTGAAATGAAAATGCAGGAGAAAATGGAGGATATCAGTTCCCAAATCAAAGGAGTAGTTGGGGGATTTAACCTGGAGTTGTTGGGACAAAAATCAGAAGTAACCAGCAAACTCGAGCACATGACAAATACCCTGGCCTCCCTGCAACTACAGCTGTTGAACATGAACAGAGATAAATACAGTGAGGAGGAGGAATCCATTCTGGGAAACCCAAATTCACAGCACCCCAAAGATCAATCAGGCAGCAAGCAACAAAGGTTTTTCAAAGAAAACCACAACTATGAACAAGCTCAACATCGAACAAACAACCATTACCTGGGCCCAACTCCTAAAATAGAATTCCCCAGGTTTGATGGCACTAACCCTAGAGCATGGATTTTAAAGTGCAATGGTTATTTTAAGCTAATGCCCAACCTGTCTGATTCACAAAAAGTTACTTTAGCTTCCTTACACTTGGAGGGCAAGGCAGCCTTATGGTTCCAAAATCTGAATACCAAGCAAATTGACTTAACTTTGGACCAGTTTGTTGAGGTGGTTTCTGCCAGGTTCGAGGAGCTAAAGGAAGTCAGGATCATTGCTGAGTTCAATAAATTAAGACATACAGGTTCTTATTCTGAGTATGTGGAAAAGTTTGAGGAATTAAAAGCATGTATGCAGCTAATGAACCAGGGGGAATTTTCTGAGGACTATTTCATAGCCAGCTTTATCAGTGGGCTAAGTGAGGAGTTGCAATCATTTATACACATGTTCAACCCAAAGACACTCCAGCAAACAGTTGAGTTAGGGCAACAACAGCTACATACCTTGGAAGCCATCACCAAAAGGATAAAAAACTCCCAGAAACATTTCAGCCAGAATCAACACTCACACACACAAAAGCCATTTCTGAATC